GTCCGTCTCTACACGCATTCACGTGTACCGACTGCTAGTGAAAAAACGTGAACATTTATCTGAAGTGGGCATGCATAGCCTTGATACAGGACACAAATTCGCATGGGACAAAACGCTTATCTTCGGAGTTTGCCCCTCCAGAAAAGCCAATAATTTATTGAAGCCATGCGCTTCGACGACTCCTTTATTAACCACCACATAGAGTTAGATGAAATTTATAAACATATCAAAGAACGGTGGAAGAGACGCGGGCCACATAATGCAGGCTGAGAGAAGCCACAACTACCAGTCAGGTTGCAGACCATATGACTATTATTCTTCCGCGTGCTTGAAAGTTTAGGTGTTCTTTGCATATTTCTCGTTAGTCCGAAGACGAGTTAGAGAACCAGTCTCGAAATTTCACTGATTTAATTTTCCCTCTTATCTCAACGTACATACCTTCCTATAAATTAAATTTCTTGGGATGCAGGATTTCCACTTTATACGAAAGAGGTATCATGTATATTTTAAACAATATCGCTTTTCCGATAACTGTTCTTCCATTTCCGGATGCAGTTCCAACAGACCACACAAACATGCGTATCCTTCAGATAAATAACAGTCTCCTGTGCCTTGCGCCTAAGAATAAACTATCGCCTATAAAGACGCAAGTTTCACGTTTTATCTGCTACTGCAAGTTTTCTGTTGTCCCCTCAGAATTTTGAAATTAATAAACAAATCATTTTTTAAACAAACGACAGAAAATACTTATAGATTACCTGCAGGATCTTGACATTGGCAATTCTCGTCAATAAACCCAGGTGCTGCGCAATGTGGGGGCTTCTTGCATCTCCCTGAGATTTTGGTTGGCAAAAGAAACAACAAAATATAGGTCAGGGGTTGATAGATTGGCATGCAGATAACACCGAAATGAAGATACATAGAATTAATTTAAACCTCGAACTATTCTTCTGTTCATTATAAGATAAATATTTTTATAATTATGAATGCCGGTTGTTGACCAATCGCATCTCGTTTTCGGGGAAATTTGAGTGCCCGCACATTACGCAGGAATACGTTTTGCGTCTGAGGCTCCTCATTATTTCTGATAACATTAGAAAGGAAAATTTACCGTTTTAATTTTCTTTCTGCGTTCCTCTTTGTTTGCATAATATCAACAATAGCAGCTAAATTGAAGATCCTTTGTTTAAAAATTTTTATATATTCTGTTGTGTAATCTCATCCACAACTGTAGACGGACTAGCAGCACCGTTTTTGTTTATGACGTGCATCCGAATGAGACACGTTCCGTTTTTACTTCACGCCCTGATCCCATATCGAGTATGCAACAAGGATGTGTCAATTTGTCTCTATGGTACCGATTGATTAGGCGTAAGAAGCACTAATAAGTAAATGCCACAACGCCCCATTGCATAGCATAAAAGTAAAAAAAAACATACTGGCACATTTATAATGTTGATTTATGGCTCTGGCGTCCCAGAATGATAGGTCTTTTGAATAAACCGGTTTCAAGACATGCTGAAGGGCAGGGTCCCTCGCGCTGATTGTTGGCTTATTGGCATCAATTGAGAAAGCCTAGTAAAACAGAAAGTAATGAAGGCGTATGTTTTTGACATAAATCGTTAATGTGGACCACGATGCGCCCTCCGCACTTAGTTCTAAAGATCCTTCCCCAAAGTAAAGTTTCTTAAATTATTTTAAACATTTTAACAATTGCTTGATTTTTCAGCATCCTCAACGCAGGACAAAACTAAAAGGGATGTAATTTCCCCCAGCATAAGTACACAAAACAATATTTGAGCGCGCAATTTCTAAAAAAATATATTCGAATTTACAAGAGTATCGACAATAAATCAAAGTAATGTACACTACTTAATTAGCCGTGTTTTAGGGAATATTTTTTGCCGGCGGTTAAAATAACCTTGCCCTAAAGCTGGTAGCTCACATTCGTTGAAATATCCTCAGATTAGTTTACACGGTAATGGATATGACAAAGGTACCTAACTCGTAAACACATTTCAGAATTCAGGTGGACATTTCCTGAGATAGGGAACTTACTTACTCCACTGTAAAACGCATAGTTAAGAACCCTACAGCGCAAAAATTGATCTAAGTTTTTGATACTGAACCTTTATATTCGAAAATGTTACGCTCCTGTTGATGGGAATGAGTTGAAAGGTCTACCAACGTTCTAACGACTGTAGTAACTGAAGTGAAATTCCATTCTCAGCTAAAGCAATATTTAAAAGTGTATCCGGGCAATCCAGTGAATATGCGTATTGTTGGGGCTGTTTGAACGTACCTTAGGTCCATACTGCATAACTGACTGAAGATCGTATGGTGTGCCGTAGGTTTTTATTTCAGCCTGATCCCACTTTTTGTACGCAGACCAAAGGGATTCCGGGACATTTTCCAAATGAACATTCAGGAGACTGTCCCTATCTGCTCTATTCTGCTCGTGCAGCAAGCCAAGGACATGTCCAAGTTCATGAAGATAGAGTCCATACTGAAGAGGAAATGAGTTAATATATTTTCCTAACAAACGCTGAAATTTAATAATAGAGGCTTTGAGCTCCTCAGTAATTATGGATGCATTAATACGCAACTCGGCTGTTAGAATTGTGCATCTGTGATTTACTGGCCATGAATTTGGCAATTTTAGAGTTGTCTCTACTCTAAAGTGCAATTTATAACGTCGGTGCCGTTAAAAAGGCATTATTTGCATGCTGACTTATCTTATCACTTCCATATATAACGTAAATAAATCCACTGAAATCAAAAACTGGTTCCACAATGGGACGTTTTCTGCTGAAGCGAAGTATGGCCTTATTCTGTAGCTTTTCTACGGTCTCGTGGGGAGACCTATATTATTGCCGACAAGACGGAACATATTGTTGTAACGGAAGCCCAGGCTGGGATATCACCGCCAATAACGCCTTGTGTGAGTCCCCAAAGGAAAAACACGGAAAGAAGTGTGCAACTGCAGAAGTCTTTGAGTGTAATGGTTACAACATGTTTAAGACAACAAACGCGTTTAACACGATGGCCATCGAGCTAATCAGCTTCTCTCCTGACGTAGGCACCGGTACAATTGGCTGGTAACTCAACGGCTGACTGTAGCGTGAATTTTAAATTATTGATTGACTGCCTGTCAGTATGCTTCGCCACCTGTAGGCCGATCGATAGCCTGCCGTTAGCCCGCCTCGCGCTTTCATTCTATCTGCCTGTTAGGCTGGCACTAACACCAGCTGGACCAGATCCTGGCCTTCATGCGATCGCACAGCATAGCTGTAGCGGCTATCTAAGAAATAATGTGAACTAACTCCACCAATGTCCCATCCTGTGCCGACTATACGATCGTCTGCCGCGACTGCGGTCGCAGCAAAGGAGGAGGTTTGACCTTCCTGGTGGACAAATCCATTGCCTCATCAGCTACCCCCGCCTGGTGCCGATCCTAACGAAGTACTGGCAACTTTCCTCGACACTGACCCGGCGCCGCTAACCATCGTGAACGTCTACATTCCTCCAACTTCCAGTTGTCCTTCCGGTTTCACGGCCTCTATCGCTCCCT